TTTGCAATGTGATCAATCACAAAATTTGATACGAAGCTCATTTTATTAGTGGGAATTACAAAACAACTTCAAGCACTTTTAATAAGTTCAGAATCTGGACTCATCTTAACAGTTGCATTTCGCTTCCCTCTGGCTCATTATAAAGAAGATTCTGCATGCGTGCTTTCCATTTGAGGATGATAGGAGTTTTAGAATAATAGTTATTGAAAGTCTGTAAGTGGCTCGAACACCAACTCATGGAACCTGTCTAGCAAAGTCAGGGTGAAATTTGATGAATCCGTGAACACTCAGTGATAATGACCTGTGGAGAACCTGGAATAAATCGTCTTTGGTGTGCACACATCCAGCAAGTTAAACTGGCCAACGAGAGACCCTTCTGTTTAAGGACGGGTGGCCAAGAGGTGAGGTTGGTTTCCAATTTTTAAATATTATCCTAGTAACCTTTTACTCAACCAGGTAAGTGAATTAAAAAAATAGAATATATATTTAACTTATGCAAACTTATTTCTAAGCATATTCAGTACAGGTTAAACACACATTAAAGTTAATAGTATTGCAATTGAGCTATATGATATTGAGCTACTCACAAAGTTTCTAGGACAGAATGACAACAGGATAATAAGAAAGAGTCCAAAATAAATTCTGTTCCTCCTAAATAAGATAATTTGGGAGGTATTAGTGTGAACATACTTGCAGATTACTAAATGGCTCCTCATGCACTATATGGACAAAAATATTGGGACACCTGTCCATTACACAAACTGGGACTTTTAGTTAATTACATTTTAAATACATAGTCATTAATATGTGGTTGGGCCCCCCTTTGCAACTATAATAGCTCCCACTCTTCTGGAAGACTTTCCACAAGGTTTTGGAGTGTTTCAATGTGATTGTTTTGCCCATTCATCCAGTAGAGCATTTATTAGGTCAGGTACTGATGTTGGAAGAAAAGGCCTGGGTCGCAATCTCCATTCCAGTTAATTCCAGAGCTTTTTGATCGGGTTGAGGTCAGGGCTCTGTCCAGGCCAGTAAAGATCTTCCGCACCAAGCTCATCCAACCATGTTTTTAGGGATCTTGCTTTGTGCACTGGGACACAGTCATGCTTGAATTGAAAAGGGCCTTTCCAGAACTGTTTTCCCAAAGTTGGAAGCATAGTATTGTCCAAAATGTTTTGGAATGTTGAAGTATTAAGATTTCCCTTCACTAGTAATAAGAGCCTAGCTCAACCCCTGGAAAATTGTCCCATACCATTATCCATGCTCCACCAAATTTTACAGGAACCCTGACCCATCCATCAGACTGCAGACCAGAGAAGCATGATTCATCATTCCTCCAGAGTCCAGTGGTGGCATGCTTTACATCACTCTGACCTTTGGCATTGTACGTTGTGATGTGAGGCTTGCAAGCAGCTGGTCGGCCATGAAAACCCATTCCATGAAGCTCCTGCTGGACAGATTCGGGCTGATAAGTTTGGAACTCTTCAGCTATGGAATCAGCAGAGCATTGGTGACTTTTTATGCACCTCAGCACTGTGTGACCCTGCTTTGTGACTTTACATGTTCTTCCGTCTCGTAGCTGAGTTGCTGCTGTTCCTAAATGCGTCCTCTTTTCAAAAATACCACTTACAGTTGACCTTGGAGTATCTAGCTGGGATGAAATTTTAGAAACTGATTTATTGCAAAGGTGGCATCGTTTCACAGTACCATGGTTAAATTTACTGAGCTCTTCAGAACGACCCTTTTTTATTTTCCCTACTAATGTTTGTAAAAGCAGACTGCATGGCTAGTTGATTGATTTTAGACACGTGTTGGAATGCGTCTGATTGAAACACCTGAATTCAATAATTAAGAGGTGTGTCCCAATACTTTTGTCTATATAGTGTATATTCTAGAGTAGGATAAAGAGAAATGCAATTTTTTTGCATAGTGAATTTACAATGAGCAGACTCTGTATCTTCATTAAAATACTTGAACAAAATGTTGCACAGCCAGCGTCAGACTTTTAGTTTCCCACTATTAAGCACAGTGACACCAGCTATACCCTGTCCCTTTTTTGTCATGTTAGAATCATGACAATTTCTGAAAATCTTTCTCTTATGCTTGCTACTTAAAGGACCACTATAGTGCCAGGAAAACATACTCATTTTCCTGGCACTATAGTGCCCTGAGGGTGCCCCCACCCTCAGGGTCCCCCTCCCGCCCAGCGCTGGGTGAAGAGCTCTCCTCCTCTGTTCCTCCCCGTCGGCTGAATGCGCACGCGCGGCAAGAGCTGCGCGCGCATTCAGCCGGTCACATAGGAAAGCATACATAATGCTTTCCTATGGACGCTTGCGTGCTCTCACTGTGATTTTCAATGAGACAGCCACTAGAGGAAATAGGGGAAGGCTTAACCCATTCATAAACATAGCAGTTTCTCTGAAACTGCTATGTTTATGAAAAAATGGGTTAACCCTAGCTGGAACTGGCACCCAGACCACTTCATTAAGCTGAAGTGGTCTGGGTGCCTAGAGTGGTCCTTTAAATTCAGATTCTCAGCTCACTCACAGACTCTTTGCTTTGTTTATACTGTGTGTTTAATTTCCATGGTAACTTTTTGCCAAACACAGAAAGCAATTATACATGATATTAATGTCTGGTGTTAAATGTATCTTTGTACATACCCCAATTATTCCATGATAGAATCCTCCTTTGTCTGTGCTTTTTCAATTTGCTGTGAAGTTCCTACTCCTTGAATGTTGTGTCAGTGATCAACCATGTTATCGGTCTGTCCCCTGTCTGTATGTCGATATTCATCTTCAGGGCTTATTGACTTCATCCATTTATCCAGCATTATCACACTTTATAACAATCCTGGTCTCCCATAGTAATACTAAATCTCATTGTCTGTATTTGAGACACGTGTTACTTCCTTGTGTGATCGATGGGTGGAATTATTTGTTGCCTCTGTGTAGGTGGCTGCTCACATTCTGTTAAGTTCGCCACTGGGTCAGAGGTATATTCTTTTAAAAAAACAGTCTCTCAGCCAAAAATCCTTCACTAATTGCCCCTGAGGCAGAAATGGTTGAAGTGATAACAGTAGGTAATACTGGTTCAGCTGGAGCCCTTAAACCATGCACACATACCATATAACTATTGCTAGCTCTGCAAATGTTATGTCTCATTCCATAGGCTAGCCCCTGCGTTAAAGTGCACTATTCCACCTACAGAGTACATTCTGCAGTCAGTCTGTCATAAACCTAACTCGGAATCACCTGCAACAGCTCTGTAATCCCCTCACACCATCATCTTTCTGCATGGTGTTCTGGGCCTCTCAGCCTGACCCTTGCTGTGTGGACCCCAAGCAGGTCCAACATATCCTGGAGCATGGCATTCCCAACGAACATTCCGCAGTTCTACAATTACATTGAGAACACAGAGTGGATAACACAACAGCGCGATAGTAAGGTGAATATATATTTAGAAATGTATGTGTGTGTCTCTGTGGGTTTCCAGATACCAAATATACACACTGGTCTCTTACATTACCGGTATTCTGGATCTCCACTTGGATTGGAGATGCCCATTAAATATATAGATTTTGGTTGTTTCATAGGCTTCCATAAAAGTCTTAAACTAACAGCTGTGCATGTGTGTCTATTCATTGGCTGTCTCTAAATCATTCAGTGGAATTGTGATCCCGGCTATGTTTTGAAGGTTGTCCTTATACTAGTACAAAGACGCTGGACTTTGGGCGTGTGATTTTACTCATTATATGAAGTTGCAGTATAAAGTGTCACAACAGTGACCACTTCACACAGAGTGAAACCTAGAGGAAGAATTTTACTGTACCTTAGAGTGGCCGGACTTGCGTCTGAGAGTAGTTCGCCAACTCAGACATCTATCAGCTCTGCTATTTACGCCTAAAATATGCCATATTTTTTTCAGTCTCCAGAAATCTTGAATTGGTGAATAGACCTCTCTGTTTTAGACTAAGCTTGCATTGTGTATTTATTCATGATAGGAAATGGAATGGAAATGGCCCTTGTAATGCCAGAGTCTTTCTATAGAGGTCCACAGATGACCTCAAAATAGACTATCTGCGTGATAATACCCAATAATTAGGACTTTGTGCATAGCAGGAGAGATTCTCTTTCTGCTTACAGTTCCCAGTTCAAAAGATGGTTTCATCCTCATTCCCTGCTTTATTCATGTATGCTGAATGCATCCAGTGACCATGTCAAAGGGGCTTTGACAATGAATTTACATCAAAAGATGACTGTGACCGAATCAATTTAGGATAAGCACTGAAGACATTTTCCTAAAGTTTCCAAATAATTATTATAGTGATGAAAATATTAGGGTTTGTCCACAAAGTAGAACTTATTGTATCACTTGGGTGGTATGGGGGCCTCATGAATACAGTTTTTTTAATTTATTTTATTTTCATGTTATGATAGGGGGATCCCATACTAATGCTAGCTACACTCCACTCCTTTCCATCTAAGATCTGGGTGTCTTTGATGAGTTCCAAGAAGAAAGGAATATCTGTGGTGTACTTGGCATAGCACTCTGTTGCATTCACCCTTTCAGCACTCACTAAGTTCTGCAATTTATTAAATGCCGGGGCATGATGTTGTGTCCCCAAAAACGGGCATTGCAGAGGGAACAAAACTGTAAGACCCCATTCAATCCCTGTTTTCATACTAGTGCTACTCAGTCTGCCCATTTTAAATTCCATCATACTGAACATGACTTAATTCATGTTTCCATTGTGTTAAATTCCATCCACATGTCTATATTGCATTCTATTTATCTACAGGTACACATCAGTGGTTTTCTCCAATGAACCCTTATTAAAGCTGCTAATTACTCTAATTAGGGCTTCTTTAAAAAGAAAGGAAAAACATACGTTTGAGTTGGCTGATGTATAGATTGAGCCCTTTAATTAAATGAAGGCTGTATAATAATATATTGATTGCCTTCGTGAACTGGGAGATACGTGTTTTTGTGTTTTTTTTTTTTCCCCATGTTTGAAAAAACCAAACCTAGGAGTTCAATTAAATATTGTTTAAAATATATATATAAAAAAAACCTCAAACAATATTTAATTGAACTCCTAGGTTTGGTTTTTTCAAACATGGGGGAAAAAAAACACAAAAACACGTATCTCCCAGTTCACGAAGGCAATATATATATTATTATACAGCCTTCATTTAATTAAACTTTGGACTTTTAATACGTGAGTGCAGCCATACCCTTGGATTATATATATATAATATAATATATATAATATAATATAATCCAAGGGTATGGCTGCACTCACGTATTAAAAGTCCAAAGTTTAATGAAAAAACAATTAAAACATCAAGTGATCAACGTTTCAGTCGCACAAGACTTTCATCAGGATCATACCCTTGGATTATTTGGATATTGAAGCTGATTCTGGTTGGCACCCGGCCATTAAGGGACACTGGAGCGTGAGTGCAGAAGCTTTTTGTATTATATATATATATATATATATATCTTAGTGATTATAACTAAATATTAAATTGCCGTTTCCTTAAAGTGAACCTGTTGTAAAAAAGTACGTTACCTGAAATTGATCCCATATACATTGAATACACCATACATGACAAAGATACATGGTGTATTCAATGTAAAATCTAAAGATTTACTCTCTATTCCTCCATTCCAGCACCACCATCTTCATGCTTCGTGGGTGCTCTTCATGTAACACCCACCTCCGCTCCACCTCTGTTCTTCTTTAAAGGACCACTCTAGGCACCCAGACCACTTCAGCTTAATGAAGTGGTCTGGGTGCCAGGTACCTCTAGGATTAACCCTTTTTTTTATAAACATAGCAGTTTCAGAGAAACTGCTATGTTTATACTGAGGGTTAATCCAGCCTCCAGAGCCTCTAGTGGCTGTCTCATTGTAAATGCTTTCCTATGCGACCGGTTGAATGCGCGCGCGGCTCCTGCCGCGCATGCGCATTCAGCCGATGACGTCGCGAGCAAGGAGGAGTACAGCTCCCCGCCCGGCGCTGGAGAAAGGTAAGTGTTTAACCCCTTCCTCTCCCCAGAGCCCGGCGGGAGGGGGACCCTGAGGGTGAGGACTATAGAAAACGAGTATGTTTTCCTGGTACTATAGTGGTCCTTTAATGTGACCTGATTGGGACACATTCCCAAGCAGGGCAAATCTTGTCAGCAGGGAGTGTGTCACATCTATCCTTTCCATACACCTCCTAGCCATGCGCTGTTGTTACTGTGCCAGGCGGGCACAGTGACCTTGGCATCGACTGAGGTTTTTCACCTAATCTATACATTTACTTGCAAAACCCTTAGCACAATATATAGAAAAAAAATCTTATGCACTATCTAATGAGCATAAGTTGTTTGCAGCATTACAGTAGCCCTTTAACCCCTTAAGGACCAAACTTCTGGAATAAAAGAGAATCATGACATGTCACACATGTCATGTGTCCTTAAGGGGTTAAAAAACTTGATTTTTTAAACGTAATACTTTCTTCTTTCTGCTGACCAAACGTGCACAGATCCATGCTGTTAATTGTATGCTGTGTCTGTCCATTGTATTCTCTATGGAAAGGAATTAAAACCCTTTAATATTTGCTTGGCTTTACTGATCCCTATATGATTTACATAATTCAGTGATAAACTAGGCACATGGGTAACGTGACACCATATTACATACATTTTATTTACAATATAATTGCATCTAAAACCGTGCATCACATTTATAGAAACTCTTGCTCGGTTTTGATATAGAATTGGACTGTGTGTCTCCAAATTTGAATTTATTTCAGCCATGCCTGCTGTGGTTTGCCCTGAGGGAAGCTGTTTTTTCCCCTGGATTACTCACAAGCACCATGACCTGTGAACCCAACTATGGTTTAGTATTACAGCAGCCAGAAATGACTCATTACAGTGTCTATGGAGGAGCTGTGTGTTCTCTATCGCTGTAGGTGCAGTATGTCCAGGGTTTTCGTCCTGCTGTCTGGGTTGCACAGAAAATGTAACAATGGAATTCCATATAAAGACACTGCAAATCAGATTTTATTTTTCCTTGCATTTGATCTTTGCCGTGATGAAAAGTACATTATTTGTATGTATAGCTTGTTGACATCCACCAAACCTTCACACGATAACCCTGCAGGCATGTTCTGAAGTCATATAGGGAAGTGGTCCTGAGGTCATTCTCATGAGATAAACAATGTCACCCCAAACCCATATTGTTACATTGGTTATTTTGTAACTGTTGTTGCATTCCATCCAGAATGGCCATCCTGCTTTGCCAGAGTCCGATGCAGTCTCTGTTTCCATTATAAGACTTTAGTGTTCTAAACTGCATCATCAGTCTTGCATTCTTTTCTTTTGGCCATTAGCATTGTGTTTCTGATCACTTTATCCAGTGTACCAAAGGGGATATGGAGTGCATTGTTTATCCATCGTACACCCACTTTAAAGTAACGCTATTGTGTTAGGAATTCGAACCTGTAATGCTATAGTGCGCCTGACCCTACCAAAAAACCTTTTTCCAGAAAAAAATATTAAGATAAGGGTTTTACTCACCATTTTCCTGTGTGAAGACTTCCTCGGCAATGCTCATCTCTCTGCCTCCCGTGATGTTATCCAGGAGACATGGCCTCCTCAAGCAATGGTCCAATCTAATGCTCCTCAGAGTGGAGTCTTGGGGTCCAGATGTGCATTCATGACGAGTGCCTCCCACGCATCTAATGCTTTTCCTAGGAAAGCATTTAATCCAATGCTTTTCTATGAGCACCATGTTGGTCAGAGCAGTGGAAGCACCTCTAGTAGCTGTCAGGATGACTGCCTCTAAAGATGGATTTAATCCTACAATGCATTGCAGTTTCTAAAACACTACAGTTTTTACATCGCAGGGTTAAATTGACCAGGACCACTGCACTCAGATCACTTTCATGGGAATATGAATACCACACCACCAATTACATTGCTACATGATCATTTGTGTTTCCAATGGTCTTTTACATTTTCTTTGGACAGCTTTCATATCTGTTTTTTCACTGTGCCAACATAATCAGAAATAAAGGTATTACTTATATTGACCATGCCGTGAAAATTTGAATTTTATCTAGAGCTAGCTATTGTCACCTGTCCAAAAATGACCATTAAAATGCTGTTTTATTTTGCACTGTCCTAAAATCATACACATACGTATGTACTCTTATATTTAATGTTCTGCATTAGTCTGTGTTTTGAATCTTCTTTAAACAGACCATTCATGTAGAATTTGCCTTATGATCGCCTATGCTGCAGGGTAATGGCTATTTGTAGGCCAGGCTGGATGTGTGCAGTGGACCTACAGCTGTAAAGGAGAAGATAGATGTACTATATGAAATGTCTGTAGGGGAAGTGCAGGGTACACATACATATCCAAACTGGTTCATACCTGCACAGTTTCCATGTCTGACTCTCTGACATCATTCTACCTCCCTGCTCCTTTAATACCCAGCAAACTGTATGTCAGAGTGACACATTCTGTCTGATATAAAGCTCTGTCTGAGAAAGAATGCTTTGGGTGCTAGTACTCATCACGCTCCTATCACACAGAATGTTTTATTAACTGAAATACAGATTGTAATACTTGATAGAAGTATTTTGGCCCATCAGGGCTGTCTCTTTCCTGTCTAAAAACGGTATATCTGTCTACCCTGCCTAGTGTGTGTGTTGTTGTGTTGTGTGTTTGTGTGTGTTGTTGTGTTTGTGTGTGTGTGTAATATACATGTGTCTGTTTCGGTTATTCAGAAACATGATTCCTGTCTGATTCCAGGAAATCCCTCCTGAGAAATGAAAACGACAAGGCTTAATCCTGGTAATGAATTGCTTGTGCAGATAGAGTTAATAAGCATCCATGGCCCAGTGAGCAGACAGATATTTCAGTCTTCATATGGGAAGTGAGTAATAGTGTCTTCATGCCTTACATCATGTTGCCTAGCAGCCCATGGACTCGTCAGACATTGATTTTTATCCTCGCCACTCCTCTTGAATTTCAGTTTCATACAACTAATCTGTTTTGTTTTCAGAGGACCAAACCGAATAGAAGGTTAATAATCCTGTCACTGTCACCCATGCTGGAGCACGCAGCAAGCTATTTATCACGTTCTGTATACATTTCTAAGTAAACCAAAATTAACCATTTTGTAGAATATTGAAAGGGACATTTGACTACCCTCAAAAAATACCATTTACCTCTTTTAAGAAACCTTCCTTGCATTCATGGTAGGAATGACTTGCTGGCACTTAGTCATTGGGGACTTCCCTCACCAGCCAAGCCACCATGATGAGAGAAGGTAGAACTTGGTCTGCAACTCCTGTGGGTGCAGACCAAGTTCTGTGCTCCTTCTCTTCTATTAGTGTTGCTCTGGGTTACCACAGCAATGCTCCTATACAATAAAAAAAAAGTTTTCTTTGTTTTTTTTTAAATGCCTCGCCCCCCTAAACTCTAGCCGCAATCCCTCCCACATAATACAGCTCCTCTCCTTCTACACATTGCAGCACCTATCCCCCCACTCAACAGTGTATATCCCCATATACTATAGCCCCGTCCCAGTGGCGTCTTCAGGATTTATACTTGGGGGGTCACATAAGGGGCCAGTGACAGAAGTAGGGGGCAGTTAGAAAATGTGTGTGTGTGTATATATGTGTGTATGTATGTGTATATATATATATATATATATATATATATATATATATATATATATATATATATATATATATATATATACACACACACACAAATACATACACATAGGGCTCGACAAATTCCAGACGCCAGGTCGCCATGGGCAGCCCTTTGCTAAGCCGTGCAGAAAACATTAAAGCCAGTCGCCGCAGGGAGCATGGAGGTGGCTCATGAGGGAGCAGTAACCTTCCTGCAGTTCCTCTCTGCTCCCTTGTGAGCTGTTTAGTGACATGACGTCACTCCGGCTCCAGCATCACTTCAGAGAGCGCGCAGGGGAGCAGAGAGAAACTGCAGGAAGATTGAGAGGAGACACACTGGACGCCAGGGAAAGATCCACTCAGCTCTCCCAGTGGTAGGGAGGCTGGATGGATTTAAATAAAAATAGCAATTTGTG